TAAATACCAAGATATATGTGTTTTGCAACATCTTTACATCCCTTCCCTCTACGTGAACAAGGGGACTCAGTTGGTTATTCGAGCAAATCCCTAACAACCAAAAGGAAAGTAGTTGATAATTCTGCATGTTTTCCCCACAAAATAGATGTTTTCTCCAACATGGAAATACAACTGTCTCCTTACGTCCCTACTCAGTTTTTTAATCGCGCGAATCCCGTATTACCTACTTCCAGGTACATGTAGTTGGTAGTTTGGATATTGCATATTTTCCGAGAACAGAATGTATTTTTCTGGAAATAATGTAAAAGATAAATTACAAGATAGGTGTATTCTACAACTGTTGATTATTACTAATATAGGTGGACATATTTGAAGACGGGGATACACAGATCTGTCTTATACACCCGTTATATTTATTCCGGAAACATACTTTCTCTTTTGAGAGAATAAAATGAATATTCAAATTACTAACTAATAATTAAGTATGATGTGTTTGAACATAATGGATTGTATTACCAATCACCAGCTATTAAATACATGTAGTTGGGAATTACGAATATCAAATTACCAACTATACCTACCAAAACGAGGAGATGATTTAAAACGGGTTATCGAATTAGATAGACAAGAACATTTTATTTTGCAGGATAAGGATACCACGATGCCTTTACTACGTGACTTTTGTGATCTGCCTGGCGCAAAAAAATAAATAAAATAAAAGACGGTCCATGCTTTATTTTCTGTCATAACCTTTTTAATATTTCATTATTCTGTACAGGATACCTGCTAATTTTACTAAGGTACCCATACAATGAATGTGTACTGGGAAAAAATCCTTTTTTGGAGTGGGGGAGTGGGGGGCCGGGAACCGTGTGAATATCTGATTGTCCAAACAAGTAGTTTACTTTCCGTAAATAATAGTTATCGCATGGTTTGGAACTTTCATTGAGGATTAGAAAACTGTATTTATATATAACAGTGCAGTTTTTTCATTGATTCATATTGGGAAAAAACTCAAATCGGGATATTTCCTAACAGCTTTGACATTTTTAGAGCAGAAACATTCCCTCGATGTCACCCCAGTCAGTGTTATATCCTCGTAACAAACTCGTTTCATATACTATTCATAGCTATAAATGATTTATTTCCATTAGAGCATTATTTGTATATATACACTACGTATATATCCGATTAAAATAATGACAACGAAGTACAATGTATTTCAAAAGTGATTGAAGATTAGAACCGTCTATTGCATAAGTCATCAGAAATGTCACGTGTTATAGCCACTGTGTTTACATTGTATCATAGTTTGGGAAACTTTCTGTTGAAAATGTGTCAGAGTTAAATCGTAAACATATACAGTTAAACTTCGTTCGCTCGAACTCGGATCGCTCGAATACCTCCCTTCGCTCGAACTCATCGCCCAGTCCCGGCAAAGTTCCTATATAATATATATTGTTCTACCTCGGATCGCTCGAACACTTATCGCTCGAACTCTCGAACCTGATCTCTGGTCCCTTCGGCAGATATATAGTGAAAATCACACCTTTTCGGTCGAACACAAAAAGACAAGTCGACATGTCCTAAATAAATGACAGTCGGCGACACATGTTTTTAACACCTCGTGATCGTGACAAAGGCAATTAAGGTTAATTATTACAAAACAAGAGGTGTTGTTACCGATTTGTTTGTTATGATAATATTGTTGATTTGCCGTTTATGGTAACGATAAAAAGAAAATAACTCGTGGAATAAGTGAAATATGCAAAAGTCAATAAAGAATGACGTTTACCCGGACGGCTTTAATTACAACCGTAGTTCATGTAACGTGAATTATATACTTGTACGGGAGTTTATTTTAGTAAATGACTACAAATAAATGCTGCTGTAAAACTTTTTCTTTAATATTTCATTAATTTATTTGTTTTTAAATTAAATTAATCCCATTACATTGTATAAACATATAGATATATTTTGAACATTGTTCAACAAGTTTGTTCTGATTGCCCAATCGAACTCAACCAATTACAATATGCATGAATATAGATTAACACAACGTACCGTTAATACTAAATTGAAAACACTGGGATAATAATTCAATGTAATTCGAGGAACAAATGTACTAACAAACACTTATATTTACGTATTTATCATTTGACCGATGTCTGCTAGAAAACCTTTAGGCATATGATCAACGTAATAATAGTTCGACCTCGGTTGGCTCGAACTACCGATCTCTCGAACAAATTTGCACAGGCCCTCCGAGTTCGAGCGAACGAAGTTCGACTGTACATGCACAGTGCGTTAACTTGAGTGCAGGTATTAGTTACCCGCACTCCAGAGCCTCATTTTTGCTGGGGTTTACTTATTGTGACGGCAGAGAAAGGGAAAGCGACAGAAATATCATATTCAGATGCTCGTTCATTGGTTCCTTTTTTCTGGGGTTTCATATTGTGACAACAGGGAACGTGTTTTTATGCAAAAGAGAAAGAACATCAAAAGACTCGGCAATCTGATTAATACTCGGGGGCTACGCTCCCTCGTACAAATCAGATAGCCTCGTGTTTCGATGCTTTTTCTATTACTATAACAACACACTATCATCACTATGATAGCGGCAGTTAATATAATTATACCAGTTATTTAACCTATTTTAAAGAGATGTTTGGCGTTTTAGCATGGTTTCAGTAAAATATGTTTAAATTGTAGAACCTGCTTGACGTGTTAACGTTTATTGTCAGTCATGTTTACAGTTTTGAACACACCGGATTTTCTATACAATTCAACAAAATTATTCAATTTACGGTCGCACGAGTACTGGTAAGGGTTTTAATCATAATCTCACTTTCTCCGTTAAAGATACTAGTAACAGTTATCTTCTGTCCCAGTTTCTGTCAAGTTGAGTTGAACATTGCTTATCAGGTGTATTGAAATACGGACAGGCGTGGCAGTAACATGTTTAATTATTTTATTTATAATTGCATATGTTAAAATACAATACATTGCATAAAAGCATAAATATAAAAGTAAAATTCAATTAAAGTGTTTCAAAACAATAGACCATGTTTTCGATATATTTTCAGCACTATCAGAAGCTATCACAAATATGTCACATTTATTCTTTTTTTCATTTAAACATTTCATTCCAACATCACGTTTACGAGCCATACTTTTTGTTTCTGATCTATATTTGAGACCTGGTATATTATGCATAGCATATCCAAATAATGACACATCATCGTAAGGGAAAAATGGAGTTTTAATTGCCGATTCATACAAAGCTGGAATAAAATCATTAGTCATACTGACAAATTTTCCCTCGCAATATTCTTTGTAGTGGGTTTCTCCCCTAAAATGGTCAGTACTAACAAACCATTTGCTTTCATTTTTTCTTTGAATTTTACCCTCCATGCGCTCACAATAAACATTTATATGTTTTAAAGGTCCGTTTAGTTTTTGAAAATATACGAACATATTTACAACAAAATCGTCGTCAACTTTCATTATCATTTTAGCATTCCGACAACGTTCTGTTATCCACTTAAAACCCATTACACCCTTATGTGTCAGATTTCGATAAGTGTCCGTGAAGTCACCTTGCAAAATGTCTCTAAATATTCCAGACTCTTCTTCTATTCCCGTCTGAACTTTGGAGTTCATGTCCATTCCAAGTAGAAAAAGGACCCTGACTGTTCCAAGGTGAGAATAATATCTATTGTTAGCCCAAGTTTTTCTGATAGCTTGTCTCCGGGAAAAATGGCCTGTTGCTGAATTCACTATAATTAAAACGCTTAAATCTTGAACAGATGCACATAATTGATCATTCTCTAGGATATAACTCACGTTCGTTGGGTACTTCGGATTCGTCCAGTTGATAAGATTTTCCAAATTTGGTAACATTTGAATTGTATAATTTCCGTATGTATCTGCTAGCATTAATTCCGTATTATTGTATACTATAAATAGCAGCACAAATGCGTTCAAGTAGCACAAAATCACACAATTTCTTTTGCTATATCTAACATATTTTGTTCTTGAGCTAATATTCATCTCGCACGTTTATTCCAGCTTCTTAAAAATTTAACTTGAAGTTTTATATTCTCAGAAGTCAAAGTCATGAAAAAAAAAATCAGCAAACTGTTCAAGTCCTTTTCCTTACAAGTTATTTACACTTATAGAAAATTGTAAAGGCTCGCATTTACGTATAGTTTTAGTGTCAATTCCAGTGAAATGAAATAAATACTTTCCGAGATTTTTTATATTTCCGCACAATGAAACCCTCTTTAAACTTTTATCGGCAGTGAGAAAAAACATCAATCTTCATAGTTTATATTTGATGCAATGACATATGATACAAATATTAACAAGTTTTGACATGTTTAGATCAAAGTCATTATTGTTGTCGGTATACATAATTGAATGATAAAAGGTGCGAAAATCTTAGATTGCTAAAAAATGACGAGACAATTGGTCGTATTTTCAGTTATAATATAATACAGTATTAAGTAGATTGTGTCACAAAAGAGTGAAATTGATCAAAAAAACAAATACAATTGTGTGTTTTATTATATGTTTTTTATAATAGAATATTTGAGCATCGCTCAAACCTGTTAAAATATGATAGAAAACTAATTATATTCACGGTCCGAAGGATAAATTGCATCACGCATCATAACTATGACTGGGCACGTTACTATATACAATAGTCATTGACGATTTGAAACGAAAATGTATAGAAATATCAGGCACAATTTTTCTTTGGAATGTTATTTAGATGAATTTAGCAAATTCCTATCTAAAATATTAAAGACTCATAATTTATGTTGGTCTTGTGTTTCGTTTTGACAAGATCAGGATATGACTAGTATGTAAGGACTCATATATCTAACACACATAGTTATTTTGTGACAAGGAAGAGCAGGGGTAGTTTTTAGAATACACCACATACATAATTTTGTAAACATTTAGATATTATTAGAAATGGATTATTAATATACTAAGAAATTTCAACATGCAAATGAATGTAAACCTTCTCCGTTGTTGTTTAAAACTTGTTTGAAATTTATTTTTCTACACTGTCTTGCCATATATATATTGTATTGTGTATCCTCACGGGCCATGTGGCCTTATGGAATTCGAAAAATAAAACTTATCAAACTTATGTTTTTTATAGTAGAATATTTGAGCATCGCTAAAACCTGTTAAAATATGATAGAAAACTAATTATATTCATGGTCCGAAGGATAAATTGCATCACGCATCATAACTATGACTGGGCACGTTATTATATACAATAGTCGTTGACGATTTGAAACGAAAATGTATAGAAATATCAGGCACAATTTTTCTTTGGAATGTTATTTAGATGAAATTAAGTGCAAGAATTCAAGACATTAATAAACGCATCTCAGAATATCTGCGCATAATTTAAGAATAAAATCTGGTAGATATGGTAGAAATAGAATTGAACGACATGAGCGCCCATTTGGTGACGGCCTGGTGAATTTTCGTGTTCTTTGTTCTATAGTAAATCTGTCACATTTGAGGCTTAATTCTGGATTCCACTGTTCTTGATGAATTATATACTGTCTTCAACTTTTAACATCAACACTATTTAAGTCAAATGAGGCCCAAAATATAATAGGTTAGCCATCTACTTTTTTCAGAAATCTTCACTCTGTTGTAACACAGTTTAAATTCACCACTTTGAAAACTCCTGACTGCTGGTGGGTGGTACATCTTTAGTCCTTCCGCCAACAAATGAGTTCCTGGAGAATACACAAAAAACAACTTTTAAACACATCATATAACACACAAAAACTACACAAATGCAATAAATATACTTTAATTATGACCAATCTAACTAGAGATGACTTAAATTGGGCCACTTCAAAATTTTAAAGAACTACTTTCTAGACTACAACGGGTTGGGTCTAATTCCGTACCGGGTTGAGACCACATGTTAGCTTTATAATATGGAAGATATTGAAGACGAATTTCATTTTATACTTGTTTGTAGTACCAGGAAACCCGTACTAAATTCGTTTAATATTATATAAGACTTAGTATGTATAAATTCACAGAATTACTTCAGTCATACGAAAAGTCTGTGTTATTGAATTTATGTTTATTTATTTATTTTGTGAAAAATAAAAAAAAATGTTGATAAGCTTAGCTTTTATAATTTATGTAATGTTAAAAAAATCACAGATATTGTAAACGTTTTCATTAAAATGAGATTATTCTGATATACATTTAGTTAAGTGTATAATCATTTTATTATGCAGCAATTCTCTAATATACTTTAAATCTTTGAATTATATCAAGCGCTTAGCTATTTACTATACTTAATAGGTATTGTGTAACAAGATACTGTGTTTTAAACGTTACGAAATAACATTTCTGTTCTGTTCAATAATAATATAAGCAGGCCTCGACACTAACTTTTTGAGCAGGTGGTACGCCGGACCACTAGATTTGAAAGTTAGATGGTCCTTCCAGAAGTCAGGTGGTCAGTTATAATTATTATATCTTTTTACTGCAAGTGTAGAAAAAAATGTTTAAACTTTACGACAAAGATGTATTATTAATCTTTAAAGAAAACAGATATTTTTAGATATATATTTTTCATCTAATCAGAAAAGGGCAAGTCAGTCGGTATTTTATCGTAGAGTTATTTGTTTATTTGTTTTTATCTCAGTCAAAAATACACAACAGAGCTTTTATTTATGTTAACTTTTATATTAAAGTGATTTCTCTCTCAACTCAAGTTAGGGAATAGCGAAGCCATTGATACGCGGTACGTGTTATAATCATGATAATAACATAGCATCTTTTACAGATTAACATTTTTAATGGAACTAATAAATTATCTTATTTTTGTCTTTGAAAACAAGGAAATATCTAAATTATTAAAATAATGACAATGTTATTATTTACTATAACTTATCTTATTTTTCTCACAGATTTATAATATAGAATTTTACCTCCCTGTTGCTTGTTGTTTGATATTCATTTTTGACATTGGGTATTTTTAACCTTTTAAAATAATTTTAACTCTAGAAGAAACAGATCTCTTATCGTTAAACAGTTAAAATAAAGATAAATGGCATAGAATTACTAGATGTATTTTTTTCCAGTTCCTTTCGTTTGCTGCCGTTATTCAAGTATCTGAAATTAAAGTTTATCCAATATCATATAATTACCATCATCGGATACTCACGGTTGATTAACATGTAACATAACATAAATGTTAATGGTTCCGCCGTGGTTATCAGACGATGCATAATTACTAGCACCATTTGAATGAATTTTGTACCTAACTCTTAACTCTTTTAACTTGCATGAACAAAATTTTAGCGACTTAAAATGAAAGTTATTGATGACTTGAGAACTTCTTTAACTAATCAGAGATTAATGAACCATATACATGTACATCGGACATAGATTTTAAACAAAATTATATAACATGTTTTTGACCAAATCGCCATTCTCCCAAATGAGCCTTGCATCAACCAGAAAATTCAAGTGGTCCGACGGACCAGTGGGTTTTAAAATTAGGTGGTCCTTGCCAAAATCAAGTGGTCTCGGACCAACGGACCACCGCTAATGTCGAGGCCTGATAAGTGTATACTTTTTTGAACATGACAGTTTTCTTCATCGAAATCTTGTTAAAAGTGAACTGGTGCACAATTGGCGTATTTTCCAAAATAATTTCAAAATTTCAAAATATCGATAAAAAAGAAATGTTTCATGTGGATAATCTAACACTTCATATAAATGGTGTAATCTGGTTGGTTAATTATCTCACGGCCACGACTTAGCTATCTCGTGGCCACGACTTAGCTAACTCGTGGCCACGACATAGTATATCGTGGCCACGACTTAGCTATCTCGTGACCACGACTTAGTAACTCGTGGCCACGACATAGTATCTCGTGGCCACGACTTAGCTATCTCGTGGCCACGACTTAGTAACTCGTACCACGACATAGCATCTCGTGGCCACGATTTAGCTATCTCGTGGCCACGACTTAGCTGTCTCGTGGCCACGACTTAGTATCTCGTGGCCACGAGATAAATAAAAACACACACATGTCACCTTTGTGCCACCGTAAACAGTTTTGTTCTGCAACAAGTTATTATCTGGAATGTATTAACATGCCATTTCGGACCATGCACCTTTCACTTATTTACGGCATTCATACTGTCACTGGCCGACTATGAATAAACTTGATAGTCTTTTGTCGAAAACTACATGTATATGTTCCCTAGCTAATTTTTTGTATTGGTAAAATGTTAAACGAACCTCTTAATATATTTTTGATATAACTATATTATTTGTCACAGGGTGAGAAAAATGTTCAGCCTGACAGGGACTCGAACCGGGACCCACGGAATACCGTACCGCGGTTTTACCGACTGAGCTTTCCGGCCGCCTACACATTATCTCCCCTAAGTAGTGAACAGTTCTTCGAATTTCTAATGGGTACCGGGGACAATAGGAATGTATTGATATTCGAAGAAAATGCCTTGATGTTAAATCAATCATATTTCTATACAGGTTCCAGTGAGAAAGACCGAGCAAACAGAAACGAATACCCCGTATAATGTTACGTGTTGGTGTCCGTGTATCAAAAACAAATAACATTTTTCTTATATGAAAAGGGCAAACATGATTTTTTTATCGTTAAAGATATTAGACGTTTTTACCCGAGTAAATTAATGCTTAATGTATAGTCTGATTTTATTGACCTGTCAATTTTGAATACATTATAGCACTCATTTAAATATTCGATCCTATTTCGGTTTTGTCCGTTTATTTTACGAGAATTAATTAATATGGAGTATAATTATAGTTAATGTTTGAAAAACTCCCACTAGCTTAATGTAGGTTCTCGTAACATCTGCAATAGCAAAGTCGGTTAAGTGATTACCTTATGTATGAGAGGTCCGAGGTTCGATCCCTTCTTTTGGCTTTTTTATGCGTCACTTATTTTAAGACATATTTTTCTTTATTTTTAAGTATATTATAATGAAAAAGGTCAAGCGCTTTCAGAATTTTCTACATAGATATGAAACAACTAAGAAACACTGAATTGTCACGTTTTGTATTGTCTTTTTACGGCACTGAAATGACATTTATTGATCTTAATCCGAATGAATTTAAAATATTTATTCTTTAACAATGATATATACAAAAGTATAGTATTAAAAAGATGTTGAAAATAGTTATGAATAAGAAAAAATACCTGGACATACGTTGTCTCGATCTTACTCCACGCATAGTAGGACATTCTGTAGTTTACCCTATTGCGCTATAACGGTCAGTGCAACTAATCCATAGAAACCAGATGAATTTAATCATATCTAACTGCTTAAATCTCACGGAATTTACCGAACATTTATCGAATATTAATATATTCT